GCACATCTTGCGACATTTATTAGATCGCCTCTTGGTTGTATTGCTACTGCCAGGCCAAATAGCCCCAAGGATGTGGGCAGCACCACCGCAGTCTGGAAGTAAATTGAAATGAGGCGCAAACCACAGGAAAAGAGCTGAGAGTAACCCACAAGCCTCAAGTCATCACGAATTCGTTCCCTGTCGACATTTGGGGGCCGGATGAACAAATAGTCCACCGCTGCATTCCTCAGTCGGTAAGGAGCAATCGTGAATGGCACAACGATAGACTCACCCAGCTGGTTGAATTGCCAGAGATCCATACTTCAGGTATCGTGGGCAATGCTCGTCAAGTGTGCGGATTGTGGAGTTGAAAAGGTAAGCGTAGTGGTTCTGAGAGGTGGTGTGGTGAATTCATCAGTCATTACCGCATATTTAAGTGAGCTGCACCCCTATGACCACATTCAGCTTCAGTTTCATTCGTGTCCCAAGTGTGCCAGGCTCCTTGAATTAAATAACCATGTGGAGATTGGATTATGTTTCAGACTTGAACGGCTCCGATTCTTGGGGTAAGCGATACAAGGCAGTAACATAGTTTCTCCGCACGATTTTGGTGCCTCGACCTGCGTGCTAGTTATTGAAATTCATGAGTGTATGGTCTCGTATAGGGATTTCTTGCTATCCGGACATTCTATACAGGTCTTCGAATACCTCGGTTAATCCATTTTGCATTCCATAGTCAGGATGAAAAATGCGACGAACGGGTGTGCCCCCAGAAAACTCAAACTCCATGAGGACCTCTTAGTGCGGTCAATCTGGGTGCTGAAGGAGAGTCCCTGACAGTGACCTAGAACTAGATCTATGTAGTATTTCGCAAGCCTTCGGAGATGTGACCTGAGAGAGATTGAAAAAGAGATGCGGTATATCATATAACGTGCAAGAGCAAGTAATTGGAGAATATCACCTCTCCGAACGGAGAGGCGACAGGTCACTGATCCATGGAAGCAACATGTCACCTGTCCGCTACTGCGAGTTTTCCTCGAGTCAAAAGCTGAAGCGTGTATCCGGTGCGTCCACCACCAGACTTTAATTAGAGTTAATGGTGCACTGCGATAGTCCAGGCAAGGTCAAAACAGGCCTGTTGGGTTTATAGAGAAAGTCGACCACGACGAATGTTCACAGCTTGTTGATTCCAAATCGCATGGTGGTTGCTCTACTTCAGTAAGTCAATGCGATATAAGGCATGCAGGAGTGGTGAAATGGTAATGGTAAGCTAGAGGAAGCTGGGCACACGGGGCTAGGTGACGCAATCATGGTTGCCGATATTGCTACTCCAAGAGGAGTATGACTTACTGCCATTGTGCAAGAGCCTCCAAGGATATGAATCGGAGTGCTATTGAGACGTCATACCCACAAAAGAATGTGTTCGATAAATAATAGTTTGTTCTCTTCCGGAGATGTACACGTGACAGTTGTGGCGGGGTGCCCAAACATGAGTTGCCTATCTCCCTCCATCGAGGCCGTTCATTATTTATTTGAAAATTTGAGATCGAAAAGAAAAAACCCTTTATCCATATTGCGGGTCAAAATAGAGACCAACAAGCCAAGTTCAAGGTAGGGGAAGATGGTTGAACCCTGGAGAGCAATTTCGGCAGACCTTCCTTGTCCAACACCGTTGGTGAAGTGGTTATCATGCTTGCCTTCCATACATATCCAATGTCAGCAAGCGGGCTGGGTTCGATTCCCAGACGGTGTACGTTTTTGGGTCCTTACCTTCGCTCTCGTTCGTTGGTGTTGTATTCCCTTTTTTGGACCACTCCGGTGGCATGGTGCTCA